TATATGTATATATATACAGGGTGTCCCAGAACTCAGCGTCAAGCCGAAACAGGAAGACAGTGTTAATGAAAAAAAAAAGAAATTAAATTTATCAGATGGATTTGAGAAAATCATGAGCTTTAAAGTACAACCTAGAGAGGTTTGGTGAATTAATCAATATTTTTCGGTTATTGTAGTTAATTTTTACAAATTTTGGTCATTCAAAATTTCGAACCGTAATCGTAAATAACATAATTATGATCGCAGTAAAAAAATATTGGCAAAAACCCTCAGTTTTCTATAATTATGACTATTTGTACTATTTAAATTTATAATATGTAAATAAATTCAAAATTTGACAAATTTGAGAGAAAAAAGTATGAAGAAAAAAGTGTTAAAAAATGCTAGGAAGTTCCATTAAAATTTAGCGCATGTAATCAGAATTCTAAAATAATACAATACTTGTTAGTTTTATACTAAGTAAGTATCTAAAATAAAAATAATTTAATATTAGAATATATTTTACAAAATATCAGAGTTTTTTTAAATGTTCAAAAAACGAAGATAATGATAAATCATAAAAAGAAAAACATAACTAAAATGAATTAATAAGTAATAACAAAAATTAATTAATTGAACTTTATATTTGTTAATTGTTATATTTGTTAATTAATTGAATTTATAAGTGTTTATAAATTATCACAATGTTTAATTGTATCTTATGTGAAACAAATGTCATAAAATTTTATAATCGATAATAATATATATAGAAGAAATAAACAATTATTCCAGAAAAAACTCCAAAACTTAATATAGCTATTGTTATAATCAAATTTATATTTTGTATAATATTCAAAATTCAATATCAAAAATACTAAAAAAAATATTTGTTCACAACATTTTTTATAAATATACAAATTTTAATTTAATTTAATATAATATAAATAAATATATAATAAAATTAATTTAATTTAATATAATATAAAGAGGTTTAATTATATGTATTTTAAGAATAATGAAAAGCGACATTTTCCAATTGAATCCGTATATCAAAATTAAAATAGTGTATTAAAAAAAACAATTTAAACTGATTTTGGATTTAAAAATCCTCTACGTGAAATAAATTTTTAATAATTTAGGCTAGTGCACAAAATTGAGTAAATATGATTGTATTTTATTAGGCAACTGATTAAAATTGAAACATATATAAAAAATAAAATTTAATAATAGTATATAAGCCAAAAACCATAACTGATTGAAAAAATTATATCGTTGATTGTTAATTTGTGATTTTGTTTGTTGATTTTTGATTTTAATGATTTTACGAGAAGAAAATTGACCTCATTCGAAAGTGTTATCATTATTGAAGTAGAGTCTTCAATAAAATATGGCATTTATTATTAAACAAATATTTGCATATATCATCTTCCTTTATTACTTGTCAGTAATTCCAAGGTATTGAACCGTGTTCAATGCTCTCATAATGATCTCATTGAATTTATGAGCTGCCAATATATAATTTTCATCGTATGTTTTCAACTTAATCAAAAGCCATGACTAATAACAAGAATTATATGCCATCTTGGTACGACAACTAATCTTTAAGAAAATTACAAGGCGTTCTACATAGAGAACATTTCCTAGAATGGCATCTGTAATTTAACTTGGAAATGAAAGTCATGGAGGAAAATTTGAATAGGTGAATTAATAGTAAATGTAAGATAAACATCAAAAATATTTAGGACAACCATTGGGTTGCCTCTGAAAATCTAATAAAGAAAAGTTACATCACAAAATATATAAGCTATTTCGGCTGAAGAAAAATTCAAATATGTAAACTTCAAACTATTTTTAAATTTTCTATCAAAATATTTTATTCAAGGTAATTTATTTTATCTCGAGTAGTTTTACATCGATAGTAATATTTGATCAGAACTATAAATTTCGAAAACATTCGCCACATCCATTCCAAACAATTAAATTTATTGCAAACGTCGCAAAAATTTACGATGGATATGAAATAAAATGGCATTTTGAAAATATTATGCCCTGTTAAAAATTTATTGCTTTCGGTGTAATAATCGAATAAATGGTTGTAAAACATATATATATATATATATATATATATATTTATATATAAAAGATTCTTAATCGACATTTAAAAAAACTACTTTTCGAACTAAAAATTGAACTTAAATTTAAAAAAGACGTGGGCCAAAGGGTATGGGCGTGTTTCCATACAGAATTGGCCCCACTCTGGTATTTAAATTATTTAGATGTCATTTTATAGGTATTTTCGAGAAAATTCGATATACCAAATTTCAAATCTGTAGCTCATCATTTGGCCGAGATATCAGTGAAAACATGTGAAAGTGGCCCCTTTTTTCAAACTCACTTTTTGTCGGAAATATGAGAGATATCGAAAAACTGTTTACGTCATTCTATTTGTACTGATCTTGTCTATATTATTTATAATGAATAATGTTAAAAAATTGTCATTAACTAGATGAAAAGATGAAAATAAGACCCTTTTTGTATAAAAAATATGAATAAAATAATTTCACTGATTTTCATTGATGTCGTAACTTTTACAGATTCGTTAATTAATTGTCAATTAATTTTCAGTCACAATTTAAAAAAAAAACTCAAAATACAGTAAAATTTGACAGGGTTACAAATCACATATTTTTAGACTCATTCTCAAAAAATATGGATGTTTATGAAAATAATATATATTATAATAAAAAAAATAATATTGAATAAAGAAAAATCTGACTTTTGACTCAAAATTTTTCTGGGATAAATTCTATCTTCTGAAATAAATTAAGTATTTAGAGACATTACAAATTTCAAAAACCCCAAAAAAAATCAATGAAAGTGTTCTAGATGGCGACTATAAATTTGACCTCATTATGAATTTTATTGTACAAAATTAGAGATTGTCGAGTACTATATAACATTCTAAATCAACTGAAGATTGTACTCCTAAACTACTAAACTTGATTCAACTTATTTGCAAACAAAGATTAAAATAAGTTTTCAACAAATAATGAGAAGCGTGCCAGAGCAATGTGCGGCCGGGCTAGCTAGTATATATATATCTATAAATATATATATATATAATACGAATAAAATAATTTCATTATTTTTGCATGAAGGTCGTACCTTTGACAAGTACGTTTATTAATTGTCAATTAATTTTCAGTCACTTTGTAAAAAAAAATCAAAATACAGTGAAATCTGCCAGGGTCAATCAGATATTTTTAGACTAATATTCAAAAAATTTATATTTATAATAATGATATATATTGAATAAAAAAGGTAAGTCATACCGATTTTAGGTGTGAAAATTTTCAACATAGATTAAAATATTAATAATTTAAAATAATTTAAGAAATCTAGGAAAAAGTCCAACATCACAAGTAAAAATCTGACCTCATTATGTATTTTATTGTACAAAATTAGGAGTTCATGTTCAAATAGAAAACATTATTAGTTAAACAAACTAGAGATTGTTGAGTACCATATGAAATTTTAAACCAATTAAAGATTGTAATCCTAAACTACTGAACTTGATTCAACCCATTTGTGAACAAAGATTGAAACAACTTTAGAAAAGTGAGGATCGTGCCACAGCAATGCGCAGCCGGGCTAACTAGTATATATATATATATATATATATATGTATATATATATATACACACACATATATATATATATATCCCAATACTCGAAATAACGATTCGGAACGAGATGCTAGCAATTTGCTAGCATTCTTCCATATAATGTTTTATTTACCGACCATTAAAAATCGCCATAGTGACCATAAAGGAAAGTTAGTGGGGTGTCCTGACGATAATAATTCAAAATCGAATTCCATTAGAACTAATATAGTACATATATATCAATTGCAAAAAATATATAATTGAAAAATTATAGTAAAAAATAGTCAAGGTAAAATAGATTAAATTAATACCAAACTCAATTCATAATTTCCTAAAATCTTGTAATTTTTAGGGGAATTTAGGAGTAAAAATGTTAAGAAGATAATTCTGAATTTTCGAATCCTTGTGCGTTTTGACTAATAATGTAAATCTTTCCAAAGTACTATCCTTATTGAAAAGGTTGGAGATTTGATTTTTTTAGAAGCAAATAAATATATACATTTAGATTTTTTTCAGAACATAGATACTATCTAGTATTATCAAACCATCATCAATATGTATAAAATATTTATTTAAAAATGAAATTCATAAAATCTCTTTTAAAAAAGGAATTTCAACAAAATTTACGATTTTTTTCAGTAAACAGCGCGATTGTGAGTCTTGCATATAAATTGGGAGTGACTACAAGAGTCAATTATTAAATTAATGTTATAAAATAAAAATGAGTAGAACTTTACAAAATCATTAGTGTCAAAAAAAACTTTAGTATATTTATCTTAGAATTTTTGGTATTGGTAGAAATAGGTAATTCAAAGTGCTGGTATATCTAGATTAATAACCCCAAAATATGGCCCATAGATTAAATTTATTTTGAAGACATTCTATCATTTTCTTAATTTTCATGATTTTACTAAATTTATAAATGAGAACGTAAACAATTAATTTAGAATATTCCTTAGATCCTTTTATATAGTTATGTCTAACAGTCTATTTCCATGACGCTGTTATTTTGTTTCTAAACTACTAAACTTATTAATTGATTGTGGTATCCATAATTTGATTAAACACCGTTGATAAGAGTATTCAGATTATCATATTTTAATCGTTATAAACGATGAATGCTATAGCATCCACGTCAAGTTTTACGCTTGCCCAAGCTAATTAGTGACTACCAAGATAATACCAAAATACCCCAAAAATCAGTCATTAACTTGACTTGTACAATACCCACAAAATCGTAAGGTTATATAAAATAAATTCAAAATAATTGACAATTGCATTCATGTCTATAATGAATGCTATAGCATTCGAAAACGTGTTAAGTTAGTATTAGTAATATTTTTTAAAGGTACTCACACTTGCCAAATTGTGATTTATGTTTCCCAAAGCCTGAGACCTGTTACTTCTTCCATTCCTGTTGCAAGAAGGTAAAAGGGCCTGGAGGTCGTCACCTCCGGCGTTGTTGCCGGAACCTCCGCGCCCTTCCAGGCGGTCATGTCTGGAAAAAAGAAAAAAACAGATTAATATAATAATAATTGATAATAATAACAAAATTGTTTTAAAATGCATATATATTGTTCAGCAATCTTTATCGATATCAAACAGGCATTCGATAAAGTTTGGGACGAGGGCCTACTCATCAAAATAAAAAATTCTTTGCCGCACAAGATAATTTCACGATTGAAAAGTTACTTAGCAAAGAGATTATTCAGAACTAGAGTTGGAACAGAAACATCAGAATTACGTAAAATCAAGTCAGGAGTTCCACAAGGGAGTGTTTTAGGGCCACTATTGTATCTCATATACTCACACGACACGACAATGAAACTTTTGCCGGTGATACAGTTGCCATGGGGACTCATACAACTGCATCCGTCACAATATGTCTCCGAATTTAAAAAGTGGTTCAATAAGTGGAAGATAAAAATAAATGAAACAAAATCTAGCCATATAACCTTCACAACAAGAACCCTGGACTGCCCAAGAGTAAAAATAAACAACATAGAAATACCAAAATATGAGAGCGTAAAATACCTTGGGATTCATCTTTACAGAAAATTAAGCTGGTCAATGCACATCAAAATGAAAAGAAAACAAATGGAGAAGAAGTTCAAAGAGTTGTATTGGCTAATTGTCAGGAGATCAAATATGTGCTATGAAAACAAACTCCTTTTATATAAAACAATAATAATCCCAATCTGGACATACGGCATTGAGCTACGGGCGTGCGCAAGCAATTCAAATAAAAAAAAATACAAGTAGCGCAATCAAAAATTTCAAGATGCTTTGTGAACGTACCCTGGTATATTACAAATGACACACTACATAAAGACCTAAAAATAAAAACTAAGTAGAAAAAAATACCACGAAAAACTACCAGGGCACACAAACAAATATTTGAAAGAACTAAGCGAGGAATATCCCACTTAAAGATTGAAAAAAAGTAGCTATACGATCTTAAATAAAATGTCAAAAAATAATAAAAAGAGATATATCTCTAAAAATGTATATAATTTTGATTGGCAGTAAAACTATGCAATTTATTGATATATATATATATATATATATATATATATTAGGGTGGTCCTTAAAATGGTCATTTTCGAATTTCCTTGCTTCCAGGGCCTCAAATAGTTCCAAATTGATAAAAAACAATTCTCTGAAAGTTTTAGCTCTTAATATTAACGTTAAGATAGAGCGCAATTCAATCAAACTTCGTATGGAAAGAGAATGGAAAAATTTTTGAAAATTTTAAAAAAATGTTTTACATAGCGACAAATGAATGAGTTTTGTTCATTCATTTGTTCGCTAAATTACATCTAAAAAACATTTTTAAAATTTTTGAAAAATTTTCCATGCTATTTCCATACAAAACTTTGATTGAATTGCGCTCTATCTAAACGTTGATATTAAGAGCTAAAACTTTCAGAAAATTGTTTTTTATCTATTTGGAATCATTTGAGCCCCTGGAAGTAAGGAAATTCGAAAATGGCCATTTTAAGGACCCAAATGGGGTCCTTTGGGGCTTTAATGGTAACACAAAATTAGAATTTGGGAAGTGCTGCCACATCGATCAAGAATTAGATACCAAAAACCGAGTATGAATAATTGCCAAATGAACAATTTTTATAAAATAATGACACCAAATTTTGCTTCAAAATTTTACCTGCATTTAGGTCAATATACTTTATGTTTAACTTCCCGTAGGGTAAGTTATTGTAATGGGCCGAAAATCGGAATTGAAAATTTTTACATTTCTCGACGTTTTGAAGGTTTCTGAACGTTTTGGCATACCTCAGAAAAAATGGATGTGTGTGTGTGTGTGTGTGTGTGTGTGTGTGAGTGTGTATGTATGTATGGATACAAATTTTCGCCCACGTTTTCGGGCGTACGGATTAACCGATTTGAATGGTTCAAAAAACATTCGATTCCTATTGATAGGGAAAAGAGCTGATTAGTTTTTGGCAAAGGCAGGTCCAGCCGTTTCGGAGATACGGAGCAAAGAGTGCAGAAAATAGAAATCGAATTTTTGAGAGAATGGAGTATCCGATTTGAATGATCTAAAAAACATTCAATTAGTAATGATTGGGAGAAGTGTTTATTAGTTTTTGGCAAAGGCAGGCCTAGCCATTTTGAAGATACGGAGCTAAATATGTAAAAAATGGCAATTTTTGAGAGAACTAAGCGTCCGATTTAAATGATTCAAAGAACTTTCTGCTTGTCTTAACGAAATAATTGATTTTGGAAAAAAAAATTTGTCCCATTTTTTTTTTCTTTTTAGTTTTTTTTTTTTTAGTTTTTTATATATCGAAAATATTTCAGATTTTATTTTTAATTCTGACTATAGTACTAATATACTTTACAAATAATTTCAACTCTGCAATTCAGTTTATATAATTCTTATAAATATTAGACAATTTTACAATATTTATAATAATCTATTTGAAATCATTCAGTATTCCACGAACATTTCGTTACGGTACGGGAAGTTCCAGCAATTTGACTTAAGGCACGATGCCATAATTGCCTCAAGACAGAATTCCACTTACAGCTAGTTGTTTTTGTTTTTTGCACTTTTTGCGGATCATCCCTAATGGATCAATGATGGATCACTATAAATCTCCATTAACGTCAGAATATTATTATAACCGAATAATTTACTTGCAATGATTTTCGTAACAATATCTTAAAGGAAGACTTAAATTTAAAATTAAAAAATCCTTGTTTTTCATAACCCATAGTCTTCGATCCAGATTTCTTCAAGGTTTTGGCTCAAATTTGAACCAAAAACATTTTTATAAAAATAAATTCCATTCTGATATTCTACAATTTATAAAAAGTATTGTACGTATAAATCACATAAATTTATATGTTATCCCTAATGGATCAATGATCGATCTCTGAACCACCAACACCGTAAATCTCCTCAATTTCTCCAACTTTTTAACGTCAGAATATTAACATATGCCTCTCTTAACTTATGGCACACGTCCCGAATAATTTACTCCCAAGGATTTTCTGTCCATAAATTTACATACTGTATATTTTTCGCCCAGTTTTTTTATTTCATTCGCATTTCATCCTTTTTTATTCGGGAGCAATATTTGCATGAAAGCAATCCCGCTAAGTAGTAGTCTTTGCGGAAGATGTATGATTTCGGCATTTCTTTTTGAAGTCGAATTTAGAGAAAGGTAAATTGTAAATGATATATGGACGGATACAAGACAGATTCACCAGGGTAAAGGAATAAACTCTAGTGGTGTATGGCATCGTGGCTTGAGGTAAATTGCTGGAATTTCCCGTACCGTAATGAAATATACGAGAAATTTTAAACGTTTTCAAATATATTATTACAAATACTGTAACTTTCATTATTTTTGCTATCTTGTTATATCTGAGAAAATCAAATGTAAATCATAAATCACCCACTAGTATAAATTTACATCACATCAAATTTTTTCCTCAATTTCAATCCATTTTCCACCAAGTCATCTTATTCCTACCTATCTTCGTAAATCGTATTAAATCAAGTGTAGCATGTTCTTCTTAATTACGAATCGCGTCAGTTCGACTTCTAACTCCATTAGATAGGAGTTTTAGCAGGATGACTACCAAACTCCTCTCCAACTTCTAACTAACTCATATGTGAGCAGGTGGAAATTGAAGGAAACATGTGCGACAAAGATTAAATCCGATAAGTCCGGAAGGCTTTGTAAATAATTACATTTCCTAGAGAAAACAATTGAAACTAATGGCAAAAAATACACAGGAGATACTGTCTGGAAGTGGGTTTGTAGATTTTTTGTTAGAGAAATTGGATAAAAATAGAGTGATAAAATTAATTATGTAACCAGATGGAAAAGTAGAGGTTAATTTTAGCAGTTTGTATATGGCAACTAATTGGTACCTATAACCTGTGGTGGAATATTTGTTTCAACAAATTATAATAAATATTATATACATGAATTATAATTTGATGAGGTACTTTCAGATTTTTTGCCCTAATTTTGACCAAAAAAACATTTTTTAAAAATCAAATTATTTACAATTTACAGAAGCTTTTAATCAACATTCAAAATTTTTAAATCACTTTATTATCCACGATATTTATCAATCCACATACCTTCGTTTTTGGACCAAATTTGAACTAAAAAACATTTTTATAAAAACAAACTCGACTTTTAACGATTTTTAAATAATAGTGCCAATATAAATGGCAGAATCTAAAAATTTATATTCCTAACAAAAAATCTTCCAAGTTTTTGGATAAAATTGAGACAAAATACTATTTTTAAGAACCAAATATTTTTAGTGAACGATTTATTTTTATTAACATCTTTATAAAAAACAAATTTAGTTAAAAGATTCTTAACAATTTATAAAAAATATTGTGTATTCACAATAACATGCTAAATCACATAATTTAGAAACTTATACGTCTGTCTAGATTTTAAGATTTTGGATAAAATTTGAACAAAATAGCATTTTAAACAAACAAACAACGAATCTAAATATTTCTAATGATTTATAATAAATATTGTATAGCACTTGGACGCAGATTTTTTCTGATTTTTTTTTAAAGAAATTTAATTATAGTAGTTTAAGAAGTTTAATTATAGTAAATATTATTAAACTTCTTTAATATAGATTTTTCTAGTTTTTCAACTTGATTGGAACCAAGAAAAATGTTTATGGTACAGATACATTCTTTGTGACTTTTTAATAGATAAATATAAATAATAATAATAACATTTCAAAGTTATATCGTAGTACAAATCTTGATTTAATGAAAAATGCCTGAATCAGAAGAATATTTTACACTGTACCTTGAAAACAATAAAACAAATTAAACATTTGTACTAAACGCAAGTTTATTGATTAGAAGCTATTTCTATATTATTCGTAGTTTCTATAAATCTTTGTAGTTGATTTTATAGAATTTACTAATCAGCAATTACTTCATTTCTCTAATGAAGGTTCATTTCTAAATGCTAATTA